TGGTCCCGATTACCAAGCCAGATTGGATCCTACACAGAGGTAATATTCAGCAGGTTCTGACCAGTTCTGGAGAACCAGTAGTAGAAATTTTGAGTAGTTCAGAGAACCGGCAAATACCACCTCTGACTGGCCCCATCCCATCTCTTCTCTGCCTCCCGAGTCCCAGCTGATCGGCTGGGTCTTCTTTTGTTGCCCTGCACAGGAGAACGGAGCTGGAAAGCAGGTTAGTGGGGTGGGGAGGGAATAGGGATTTTGAAGTATCTTTCCCCCAGGAGTGGGGAGGGAATGGAGGTCTTACAGTATCCTTCCCCTGCCACACCCACCAAACCACGCCAACAGAACCAGTAGTAAAAAAAAGTTAAATCCCACCACTGATCCTACAATTTGGAAATTGTTTGTCACTATATATTTTGGGGATGCATCTTGTGGCAAAAGCAACAAACATTATTTAGAAACAGCAAAGCTCTATACAAAATGTTCTTTAGAGCCATAGCCACATTTCTAGATATTTAATAGGTAAAAAGATCTGGTCTACGATCCAGCACAGAAGAGTAGACAATCATTGAAACATTTACTTGGAAACAGCAGGCATATAGCATTAAATCAGATTACAATATGTGCTCACAGAAAGGGCGTTGGTACTTACCTGACACGCCCATTCTCTTTGAGCTGTGAAGAGCATCCAGTAGTGGGAGGTGCTTCAGTCTCCACATGTCTAGGCTGGGCTTATACGTCAGAAATTGGAGACTTGACGATTTCAAGGGTTCGAAAGGGCCTTTAGTGAGTGCGACAAGGACCTTGTTAAGGTGGGATAACGGTGTACCACTGGAGGGCGTAAATTTGGTACACCCTCTTCCGAAGGAGTTGGAGTGCTAGAAGGGGTCGACTTGTTTAGGCGTGCAATGTTTTTTGCCTTAAACAAGAGAGATCTGAAAAGTTGTGGGTAGAATAATCCTGTAAAAACAGGTTGGTCAGGAACAAGGCCCTCATCCTCAGACATTCCCCTTTCTAAGGGGTCTGCTTCTGACAGGGGTTCGCTGTCATGTATTGATCCTGATTCAATCTCTTCCATTTGATCAATTTGATCCACTTCTTCCTCCTCCTCAGTCGGCCCTTGGAGGGGGACCTCCCCTTGTAAATGTACCTGGGTATGGTGCTGCTCCGACCTGGTCAATGACCTCAGTGATTGGGAATCATGATCGGTGATCACAGGATATTCCCTGGTCATAACTGCATGTTGAAGACCTGCTGCGATTCCCTGGCGGATTGCCAGCTCCATCCAGGCCTTCATCCTCTCTGGAACTTCATCTGTAAGACTATCGTCCTGACGAAGACCGGCAGCCATCAGAGTGAATGTGACTTCAGGAGCCCTTCGTGTGGTCGGTGTCCCAAATACTTGGGCCTGTTGGCCTTGGGGAACCAAGCTGCGCCTGGATGAGAGGGAGAGATCTAGGGGAGGAGGAGGGTGGGAAGAGGTAGATGGACCTGGGTTGGAGGAGGGGAAGTCCTGTGAGACCTTGTGCACCTCCTGTGTGCATTTATCTATCTGTTTTTGTAAAGCTTTATGGTGTCTGGTGGCGTCCCTTTCTGAAGTTTTAGAATTCCCTTTAGCCTGCTTAGGTTTGTGCTGAGATTTGGCTTTGACCTTCAAGGATGAGGTCTGAGAGCTGCTACTGTCTGCCATTTCGATTGAAATTGGAATTGCAGTATGCTTGTTATACAATGCAATACTGTGAAGGCGGTTGGCACGCCCAGGGGCCTGGTCTGAGGACAGACCGGTTGCCCTGATGATGTTTTTATTGCCCCCTTTCCTCTTTTTTTTTTTTTTTTGAATAATACTATCTAAAATGAGTCGTATCTCAGTAATAATATTTTATTGATATTAAAATATTATACTGAAGAGAAAATTATTATTATTACTGTTGTTATTATTATAACCACAAATAAATATATATATGGCAATATGTATATGAATATTAATTAAGTGGCACGATGTTACGTGCTGAGAAACCAACCAGCCAAATTGAGAAAGCCTAAAGGCCCAAACTGATAAGGATAGAGGCCTTCAACAGCTTCCCTGCACAGGCAGACACAGGCCTAGGTGCTCGCTGTTGTGCCACTGGGTTGGTTGGGCTGTGAGGGTTAAGCCAACGATTTAATTGTAAGAATAGCCTCGAATATAGAAAAAAACCAAGACGAGGGTATAATGGTCCCCAGTATTTCTGAAGGGAGCCTCTGCTCGGAATAGAGCTACCTCACACAGCACAAAATGGAATACAGGCGCACGGCCATGAGGTCTTGTAAGAAAAGATGGCCTCTGGCCGTTAATCTTTTGGCGCATTCCCAACAGCAAACTCCCGTGTAAAGGAATAGCCTCCGATGGCTTTTCCTATGAGGCTAAACAGTGGGGAAGGGTGGAAGGTACTAAGTATTTGAATCATCCACCCCAAATGGCATTCACAGGGGGAAGGAAAGCGATATGACTTTGTTGGGAGCAAAGAACTCACGCCGCTGTTCGGGTAAAGAAACGCTGCGGCAATTGGTCGGAATGGCAGGGGTAGAAAGATTGGCTGTGGGGAGGGGATGCGGAGCAGCGCCGAAGCCTCCCGCCACTTTGGGGCGCGAAATGGTGCTTCCCTGAAATGCGAGCGATCTCTGCAATGTGAGCCAACTTTGAGAAATCGCAATGGGATTAGAAGGCTAAAGTATTCTAAAGACAAGCTGATTAATTTTCAAACCTGCTAGCAAGGAAAGAATTTTTTTTGTTTCGGCCAAGGAAGAATCACAAGCACTGACTATCTCTCACGAGGCTGAGCCAAAACTGGGGAACGCTGGGGAGGAGTACCGTGGAGGAGGAGGAGCGTTCCACAAATTAAGCCCAACCTAGACATGCGGAGACTGAAGCACCTCCCACTACCGGATGCTTTGAACAGCTCATGGGAGAACAGAACTGTGCTGGGATTTCAGTAAGAAATATTGCACTGTGTAAGGATCAGATTTAATTATTTCTGTAATAAATTCTGAAGTTGAATGAACCATTTATCATATAACACTCATGACCCAGTTCTTGCCCCAGTTTAATGAAGTCAGTGTGGTGATAATACTTTTCCTTAAAAGATTCAGGCAAACAAAACAATATTTTCCAATCTTCCCCAGAAAAAGAGACATTTTTGCTGCATCAGGTTCTCTGGCCTTTGCAGTTGGGCAGATTGAATCGGTTCAAAAAATGAGAAACCAATCACTTCATTCCAAAGCAATACATCAGCAACATCCACTTTCAGCAAAATAGGCTAAAGGCTGCAGCTACTGTATACGTAGAGCATAGTAGAGAGTACTGATTTATTCTCTTGTTTGGTCTACAAATCAGTAAATATGTTGACATCTCCCTTATTCATTAAACTGATGGGTTGCATTTCTCCTTGCTTATAAACGAAGTAGTTAAAAGGATGTTTTAGAAGTCCCAATTCAATTTAAGGCTCAGAATCACTCCGGCTCTTATTTTTATAAATTATATTAAAAAGTTAGGAAGGACAATTGATCATGACCAATTTGTCAAATCAATCTTACTGCCTCTTTGGTTTGTGGCTTATGGAATGATTGCATACTGTAATTAGTTACTGTGCATTAGAATGATTGCTTACTTTAAATTGATTAAAATTAGTCCATAATAGCAACAGCTTATACTTGCTACTGTATTTTACAGGAATGGTTTGGATTCTTGATATTCTCAGGTCTTTAATTTCTGTGGCTCGCTATTTGATTGTTATTTGATTGTTAATTATTGTTTCAATTGTTGTGAGCTACCCAAAGTTGTTGAGAGTGAGGCAACATACAAATTTAATGAAGGTACTACTGTTTCTGGCACAGTCAACCAGATATATAGACTGGATTTGTCACTTTTATCAACCTATTAAGTCCTTCCTAAGGATAAGCAGATGTTGTTGCTTGATGGTGTCAGAGGTATCATCACAGGATGTTAGCTGATTCAAGTAAAGCTGCCTTTTTGTAATTGACTGGTAGTGATTTTGTCAATGCCAATGATATTCAAGTGATGCTTCAGATGTTTGGCGATTGCACCCATGTTGCCAAATTACTACTGGTGCTATGCTTGTCTTCTTTTGCCAGTCGCTCTGTTTCTATTTGCAAGTTTTTGTATTTTGTGATTTTTCTCCATTTTTTTCTGTTCTTTTCTTTCTCCAGGCATTGCATTGTCAATTATCTGGACTTATTTTTGCTCTTTTTCAGAGCATAACATTGCTTATCAAAAAGATAATGGAAGTGTATGGTATGTACATCCATATCATAGATAGTTAGAGCAAAGATTATTTGTTTTGGATACTTATAATGAACCAGTTCATGCTTTTGTTCACGAACAATGTGTATTAAATCAATGAAGATTTTTTTAAAAACCTTTTAAAACTTGTTATTTTGTTAATCAATATCTTTAAAATGCAAAGTTAATCTCGAAGATCATAGGTTTCTTCTGAAAACAGTTCTGTGAACCATTTATGAACGATAGCAAATGTTTACACTCAAATTTAATGGGAGGAATTACTGTTTAGAATTCAAGTTGAAGAGGGCTGTTTGAGCCCCTTGTGAATTTCTGACTGAAATGCCAGATGGAAGGGCCTTAGATAATAACCCAGATCAGCATTCCCCAATTTGCTATTCTCCGGATACATTAGAGTATAATTCTGTGGATTTCTAGTCAGCACAGATTGTGAGTAACCTGACTGGGAATTCTAATCTTGTAGCCCCAAGATACCTGAAGAGCATCAGGTTGAGGAAAGCTGCAGTACATTTAACATCTTTTTGAGCTTAATCGTATATGGGGAAAACATTTTACAGCATTCAGCCTGGATTTGTTGAAAGGACTTCTGTTACATTGTTCTCACCAACAATTCCAATTCAAGTATTTCACTTAGGCATTCAAATTACATTTAGCACCATTCACCAACAATCAAAACTAAGTCAAGGGTGATCACCAAGTTGTATCTTACCCCTTAGAGCAGGCAGCAGGGACCTTTCTTTCTTGTCATCGCATTTGTTACACTCACTGAAGTACAGCAGGAGAAACACATCCACCAGGACCCACATGAGAGAAGTGGCAAGAATCACCTTGCAATAGACAAATCTCCTCATCCTTTATTGAATTATTAGTTACAGGCTGCAGTAAAAGCAGGTGCTAATACGATGCTATATCCAAGCCAAGGAAGCTGGCACGAATGCACAGATGAGAACATCCCACTGAAAAATAAGAAGAGGAGAAAAATAGAATTAGCTGGCAAGTAAACAACTTCATAAACATAACAATTTTCATCTGTTACTGTTTTTTTAAAAAAAAACATGATTAATTTTTATTGTCCTCCATTGTATGCAAGAAATGCATACCAAATTTTTAGAAACAAAAATGAAAACAAGCTTTCCGGTGTGTAATGGTATGTGAAAATGACTTTGGGAGACAGGAGGAAAAGCAGCAGACTAGGCCAGTCAGATAAAAGGCAACTGTGCCTGCAGAAAGAATATGGATGCAACAGATTTTTCAGAAGGGTCCCTCACTAGTTTCATGGACTGCAAAGGTAAGAGGGATTTGCAATGTAAGTTGTCAGCCTCACAAAGTAGTCGAGACAAAAAGCACTCAGTTGTACTAACATTAACTTTATTGCAGAGTTACATTAAAGAGAATCTTGCAAGTCATTCCCATGTTCCATTACAAGTGTATTTTAGTGGTGATTGCTTTGATGTTTTCCAAATTCAGGTTATGCGCATCTTTAAAGCGCTCTTCAAAAATGTACACTGACTCAAAAAAAGCAAGGAAAAATAAACCGAGCGAGCACAAACAGAGGATTTAATTCTCTGTGAAATATCTTATTGCAATAACACTTACAAGAAAATGGATAAATGACATAGCATTGGTGTTAACTACAGCTAAAAGATGCACTATTCATGCTCAAGTGGGCAGACATGGAGTATCAGCATCAACAGACACTGTTTTATATTTCCTTTAATAATACATACAATTACACACTCCTCCCTTTAAAAAACACTTTCTGTTGACATTATTTGGGGTTCTTGTCTGGTCTATGCATAACCTTACTTCACACAAGTAATTATTGTAACATTTTTCACTTTTAGAATATGAAACAATTTTCCAAAGTAAATCAAATATGTAATTCAGTTTCAGTTGATTATGATCAACTGGTACAATTATTCTCTTGATGACTCAGTTGCGAAAATATAGACATACTGAAAAAAATGGGAACATAATACTGGGTGCGAGGTTCTTTAAATTTAAATTCATACGTTTTCATTTATTACCTAGCAGGAGGTTGCTTCCTCTATTTACTTTTACTATTTTTTTTTATTTTGTAAACCTTTTCTTTTCCAATGTATTAACAAAGTTCTACAAGCTGAAATTCCAAGCTTCTTCAAGTATCTTGAAGAAATGTCCCCAATGAGTCACATAATGCAGGAAGGAAAACATGAGGATACTATTGGGATATTTGGAAGAATCAAGCATAGTGCAATACATTAAAGCCCAAATTCAGAAACCATGAGTAGGAAGAATCAAAGCTGGCAGGCTGAATAAATAATGGCTTTTTTCTTCCAAACCTGCAGGGACTCCTTTCCTTTTTTTTTCTTTTCCTTTCCAGAAAGGAACTGACAAGCAGTAGTTTGGAATATCTTGGTAGCCATTCCCAGTATCTACAGGTCAGAAAAATAAACCACTAATTGCATCATTATCTTAAAAACTGTGACAGAAGTAGCCACATTGAAACTGGTGAAACTGATGAAACTGATTAGGAAATAAAAAGATTTAACCATTTATTCATAAGATGCCACCCTAAAAGCAAGGTTACCTCCAAATTATAGCTTAGTTATAGTGAAAAGTGTTTTTTCTTATAAAATTCAAATATTTAAATTTTCATTCACTCATTCTTTAGACCTCGACTTATCAGGGAGTCACCATTTCTATATACAGGTAGTCCTCAACATACAAACATAATTGAGCCCAAAATTTATGTTGCTAAGTGAGAAATTTATTAAGTGAGTTTTGCCCCATTTTACGAATTTTCTTGCCATATTGAGGACTAAATTGAGGACTACCAGTATTCAAATTCAAAACAGCAATACAGTAAAAGTTAATTTAAAAAATAATAAACTCCAACAAAATAATTAAAACAAATTATAGTACATTATTAAAGGCATTATTAAAGGCAAATACAGCTAATAGGTCCCAAAGGTGCTTTTTCAAGAGGCAACTGGACTTTCTAATTTTTCTTTGAGGATGTTTTGCTTCAGATCTGACTGAAGAAGCTTCTTGGATGAGAAGCAAAACATCTTCAAAAAAAAAAACCCCCACAAAGTCCAATTGCTCTTGAAAAAGCATATTTCGGACAACTATGACCTGGATGATTGAGAATCTCCATAGCCATATGGATATTCTAATTCTGTGCAATGTTTCAAAGGGCTTTCAGTTTTGATGAACAATGCCACAGAGATTGTCTACTCCTGATTAATACACTTGACTGATCAATCCACATTTCAGTTCCCTCATAGCTTATCTTGCCTCCTATCTTCTTTGTCCCCAGCTTCACCAATTTCCATAAAAGGTCTTTTTAACACTATGTTTTCTGTGTCCAGCTCTGAGCGTAGCTACTAAACAGCTGCTATTCTTTAAGGTCTCTTTTTCCTCCTGTTACACAGCACATTAGCAGACATGCTCAGAGACAAGCCCACTCCAAACATGGTGGGACAAGTGATACTCAGTATTGGAAACTAGGATTTTTTCCATGCTAGGCAATAAGGAAGATCCCGTTGTGAAAACAGGATTTATTTTTTCCCTGCTAATCTTTCTAGAAAAGGGGGAATTTTATGTCAGCGCAAGGGGAAAGCCGGAGGAAGGAAAGCCTATAAAGTTGTGTGTATGTACAAATGCCTGTGGGTCTGACAGACAGTGCAAGAGAGGGGAAGGATATGTTTGTGTGCCTCTCTGATTGGAAGGTGAAAACACATTTCTGTGTGCTTATGTACCAGGGGAATGCTGTGTGTCTGTTTCCTGTTTTTTATGGAACTATCTTAAGATAACTTTGACAAAAGACGGTATTTAACCTATCCCTAAGGAATCAACAGCTTGCACACTATTTGATAACCAAGCCTACTGTTCTCCATGGCTTTTCATTATTAAAACAAACTCAGCGGAAAAAGCTTCCAGAAAACTCACACACTGCTAGGTCGTATGCAATACAAGTCTAAATAATTGTTACATGGATAACCATCAGGGCAAAATCTACTGCACAGATAGTTATCTGAGTTTTGCGACAGAATCGGTCTCAGCCCAGTCCTCCTCACACAGATGATTTTCCACATCAGTCATGACTTGTCCCCTGCAACAAGAATAGTGGAAAATTCGTATTATATACCCAATCTTATCATTGACACCCAAGCAAGACCTGCAAAGACTTCCAAAATAGTATTCATGCCATCTAAGAAAATGAAATATATAATACTCAAGGTACATAGATCTGGATCCTAAGGTACGTTAATACAAAGAAGCTTGTCACACCCCTTCCACTGCTAGAAAAATCTGGCCTCCTTTCCCCCTTTAAAAAAAAACACAAAGGTTTCCCCCGATCAGTTGTGTCCAACATTAGGGGGCGGTACTCATCCCCATTTCTTAGCTGAGGGAGCCAGCATTGTTTGAAGACCCTTCCATGGTCATGTGACCGGCATGACAATATACCTTCGCACTGAAGTGATACCTAGTTATGTTATTGCATTTAGCAATAGCACTTAGACTTACAGTATATACCGTTTCATAGTCCTTTACAGCCCTCTGTAGAGATTTACAGTGTCAGCATATTGACCCCAACAATTGGAGTCCTCATTTTACCAACCTCAGAAGGATGGAAGGCTGAGTCAACCTTGAGCCACACAGAATCGAACTCCTGGAGTGAGCAGTGAGTTAGACTGCAGTATTGCATTCTAACCACCCTGCCACCACAACTCTTATTTGCATGTTTTTGAATTGCTAGGTAGGCAGGAGCTGGAGTAGGAATGGGAGCTCACTTTACCACACAGTACTTGGTCTCAAACTGCCAACCTTCCAGCCAACAAGCCCAGCATTTTAACTGTTATGCTACCATGCCTTTCCCCCGAGTTCTTCCAAAAACTATTTCCAGAGGATGGAAATGGGGTGAGGTGGGACAGAAATGGGCGTTGGTCCTTACCTGATATGCCCTTTCTCGTCGAGCTGCGTAGAGCATCCAGAGTGGGAGGTGCTCCAGTCTTCGCTCTCACAGGCTGAGCTATAATTGAGGAACGCCCCTCCTCCTCCATGTGACTCCATCATAGCGTTCCCCAGTTTTACGAAGATGAGAAGACAGAATTGCATCCCCTCATCTTAACTTTTGAACAACTCTCAACTATAAACTGTCTGAATCATTGGCCAAAACAGGATTCCCCACCAGATGGATGAATCAGGGTGGGGACCAACGCCCATTCTCCATAGAGCTGCTGCGAGCATCCAGAGTGGGACATACCAAAGCATGGCCTGTCCTGCAGGAGAGACTCCGTCTGGGCCGGAATCTCCTCTGGGTCTCTAACCACTTGTTGAAGGATTCGCCTGCCAAAGGACGCTTCTGCTGAAGCAGAAGACATCAATTTTATAATGGCGGATGAAGGGAGATGGAGACGCCCATGTAGCTGCTCGGCAGGTATCAATTATCGGAGCCTGGGTAGCCCAGGCTGCTGAAGTAGCCACACTCCTTGTAGAATGTGCGGTAATTCCACTAGGAACAGGAAGCGCCTGTGTTAAATAGGCCTTGGAGATTGTAGCTCTGATCCAACGGCCTACAGTAGATGGGGATACTCTGAAACCCAGCGTCTTTGGTTGAAATGACAGGAACAATGACTCTGACTTCCTGAAAGGAAAAGTACGACGGATATATATACAAAGTGCCCGTCGGACATCCAGAGTGTGCCACTGCCTTTCCCTTTCTCGAGAAGGTCTGGGGCAAAAATTAGGCAAAATAAGTTCTTGTGACCTGTGGAAAGCGGAGTTGACCTTAGGTAAAAAGGAAGGATCTGGTCACAAGACCACCCGATCCGCATGGAAAATGCAGAGATCTTTTCTAACGGATAGAGCTGCTATTTCAGATATCCGTCTTGCCGATGTGACAGCTACTAGGAATACCACTTTAAACGTAAGGAATTGCAGAGACGCCTCCCTCAGGGGCTCAAAGGGA